AGAGAATCTCATCTGCTCGTTCACTCCCCACATAGCCACAGCGACTAGGGTTGGGGCAGGCTGAAGACAGCAGTCCAAATACTTGGGCTATCTTCTGCTGCTTCTTGGGCACACTAGCAGGGAGCTGGATCTGAAGTGGAGCAGCCAACTTGAACTGGTGCTCATATAAGCTACTGGTTTCTCAGATGATGGCTTAATTTACTGTGCCACAATGCCAGCCTCAGTGTAAAAGGCTTTTTCTCCTTACTGAGATGCCACTTAAAGATCTCCAGAGTGTTAAAGTTTAAAACTTTCTGTGCCCAAACAAATTTGTCTTTCCACTTCATCCTTCTAAGAGCTTTCTGAAGTACTCCACAGCATGATGCAGAACATTAGCCACGAGCAGCTAAAGTTGCCATTTAGGGATGGGTGGGAAGAGCTTGTTCTTCAAAGTAAGATTAGCAGACTTGCCAGTCCCTTGGGTGGTGACCCTGGACAGACCATGTCCAGCCCTACTGTGGTGCCGTGGCTCAGGCAGGGGTCCTTTTTCCAGGTCTGCTGATTTATACCTCTGCCATCCTTTGAGACCCGAGTTTCACTTTCACCTCCCTTCCATCTTTATCCATCTTCTATTTTGTTCACTTTTTACAAAACTTCTTAGCAGGATCCAGCGTTTAACACAATGGTTACATCACCACTGAGGTTCCTGAATCCTACCCCAAAGCTTGAGGGTGTGATTTGAGTCCCTGAGTCCTCCTCTGCTTCACCCCCAGCTTCTTGCTAACACACACCCTGTGATTCGATACATAGCTAAGCAGATGAAGTAAGTAAGTGTGTTTAAGTAGATGGAGGATCACAAACAATAAACTGAAAAACCTGAGTACATGTATGGGCAGACAGTCCAGGTAAGTCTGAGGTCAGGTATCTGGAAAACCAAGTAGAGAGTAGGGACATAGGTAAGCTGCTCAAGGCTGCTGCCACAGCGAACAGAAATGTTCCCAGTTGGGTCAGGTGCCAGGCTTGAGGGTAAGGTGAGCAGGGGCAGACTGGTTGGGGAAACCCATGGGGAAGTTGCCAACTTCCGAATGCAGGTGCTTCTCCTTCTGTGGCTCCTGGCACTGAAATGTTGTGGGTCCACCTGACTGCAAGCAGCTCCAGCTGCAGGGACGCGAGTGCTCCTTGTTCAGCTCCTCCAGAAGGCCAGAGGGTGGGCCCACCTGAGAGTGGGGATGGTTTTGGGGGAAGAGCTGGGAAGGTGGGAGGATGCAGCTTCGCCCCTCAGCAATTAGCCTCAGCTCTGGTTTCTCATATCCTAAGGCCAAATGAGGAAGGAAATTGGACAAAGGAAGCCTGGCGGGCCATGTGACCTGGCTCCAATGAGCCAGGTGACATTCTAGGTGGAGCTAGAATGTCACACACAAAGATATCACCCATAGAGAATGGAGCAACAAAAAAGGTGAAGCAGAGTTAAAGAAAAGACAGGAGACCCCCAGTAGAAGTGTCCTACGGTCTTGAGACAGTAGGCAAAAATGGCACTGCCCTGTCTCCTTCTCCACTGATAAAACGTCACATCTCCAGTCATCCTTCTACTCACGCCGTGCTGTGGTCACATCAAGCACCAACCCTGAGGTTGCTGAGTCAGAATCAGCTTCCTCCTGCCAGGAATGCATGTGCCTTACGTTGCTGGTATCCTCAAACCTCAGAAGAGCAACTCTAAGTACTATGATCACCTCACTGTATGGGGGTCCTGGGAGGTGCTCCAGGTCACACCTCTTGAGACAAGGAGTCAGGGCTGGCATGTGTCTGAGGGCATAGCCTGTGTGCTTATTCAGTGTGCCAAGACTGGGGCACTGACTCATTCATTTTGTGTGTCCAACCCCAGGTACCCAGTGCTGCATTCTACAGGTATTAAGTCTCTAGAAATTATCTGAGGGGTCCCCAAGAACACTGTCAAAAATGACTGCCTTGTGAGCAATTCAAGACCCTCACGTATTTTCTGCCATTCAGTTTTCCTTGCTGATATTCTCCTTTGAGTTGTCTCATGTTTATTCAGGACCTACTTAGGAGATAGGCTTCCAGCTGTCATCTTATTCAATCCTCACTGTAACCCTAGGAGGTTTCTGAGTATATCATGACTCCTGTTTTAGAGATGAACACATTTGTGGCCAAGGTCACACAACTTGTAGGCAGCAGAGCATGGTCCCAGTCTAGAGTCGCCCAGCTTCTGGGCTATCACCACACATCCTAGCATTCTTTTCCATGGCTTCTGATTGTCCCTCCAGTTATTGTCATTCGCTGTGGACCAGCAACTGCCTAATCATTTGATTTTACACTGAGGTCATGGATGTCCTTCCGGACAAGGACCTTGACTGTTGAGCCTCCCCCAATCTGCGCCCTGCAGCGAAGGCACTGCAATATCTGAAGAAGCCTTCTGAATCATCAGGCTGGTTTCAGGGTGAAGATTTCCAGGTTAGTTTTGACAGATTTACAGTATCTCCTCAGCTTTTTTAAAAGAGGGGGCCAGGTATGAAGTATTTCAGTAAGCTCCCTCTCCAGTCTGTGACTCCTCTGTGCCTCAGTTTACACATTTGAGGGATGGTAATAACAATAGTCCATCAGGTATCCACTGAGTCACTCACCCATCTACCTGCTTATCCATCTATTTACCCATCTCTCCATCATCTGGGCATGCATTCGACATTCAGCAAATGCGTTCTGTACACCTACTCTGTGCTCAGGTAGTACGCAAGCCATTCAGGATGTTTCATGACCAAAAAATAGACCAAAAAGTGTGGAGCTTCTTTTCCAACAGGAGAATCCAATGCAAAGCCATACACACAGGAGCAAAGCCTCCACACCAGGGAGAGCATCAATCTGGGGAGGGGACTCCGGGTGGAGGAGGAGTGACGGTTGTAAATGGGACAAGCAGGATAAGTCTTGATGCTGAGGCAACATTGCAGCACGGCTGAAGGGCTTTAAGGAGTTGGCTGTGAGGACACCTGCACAAGAGTGCCCCTGGCAGAAGGGGCAGCACATGCAAAGGCCCCAAAGCAGGTGTGTCAGGTGTGTCTGAGGCACAGTGAAGGCCCCAGGGTGGCTGGAATGCATGAGGAAGGCAGAGAGCAACAGAAGATGAACAGAGAGGTGATGAGGGCTGGACTGTAAACAGCCGGCGGCCCAGTGTCTGCATTCAGCCTTTCCTTGGAGTGACCTGGAGGGCCATTGCAGTGTTTAGAGCAGGGGAGGGTCTAGACCACTATAGGGTAATTGAGAGGAGGGTTACGAAAACCTTGTTGTAAACCTTGTTAAAGCCCTCTCATAAGCCTTGTTACAGCCCAGGTCAGTGTATCGTTTCTGCAAAACTACACAATTCCCTTTCCCTGTGCTCTTTCCTGCCAACTGAAGGCTGCTGCGTGTCTCCCAGGCTACAGAAGCATCTTGGTCTGATGTCCTGGAGGACAGGGACAAGAGGGAGGGAGGGGAAGAAGACCATTTGTCCTGCTCTGTCTACTGAGCCTCTGCAGGCCACACACCCTGCACTCAGTTCCACTTTCTAGAGTCACATGGGATCAGAAATGAAAATTTTACATCCCCAGGGAGGAAACAGAGTTAAACAACAGGAACCGACACTCTTGGGGAGAGGGGACAGAGGGGCAGTGGTGCCGTGCGAAGGAGTGTGGGTTCGGAGAGCTGCCAGGAGGCAGAAAGGCTCGGGAAGTATACCCTGTGCCAGATGGGCATCTGCAGTCAAGATCGCACCGACTGCTTGCCACCCACTGGGAAGTCAAAGCAGACACCCTTGCCCTTGGTACCTGCCAGGAGGGAGGGAACAAAAGATTCAGCCAAGGGATAAATTCTCACCTGGGTTAGAATGGAACCATCACAGTCAACCCCATAGAAATCCAGATGGGGAAGGCTTGGAGATCAGCATCTCCCGGAGCCTGAGGCAGAGCTCAGAAGGTGATTCACCCCATCTACCCTTCCAAGTGTGTGTGTCTCCAAATCCAGCCTTCACTACTTCCCACCAGTGGGCACCTGGACAAGGTGCCACCTCTGGGCAGGTTTTCCCTGGTTTGTTAACTGAAGACAGAGATCATCAAGGCCTCTGGGTTGAGGGGAGAGCTAAGCGAGGAAGAGCTGGCCTGCACTGAGACCATGCTGTGCACAGAGTAAATGCTCAGTAAATGAATAACTGTTAGCTCAGTTTCCAAATCACAGGTCCAAGAAGGGCTAAAACTATGACCCAAGTCACAGACTCAGAGAAGCACTGATTTGCACTGAGAAAGGAACAGAAGGGACACTCTCTTGTAAAGTTCATTGCCATGGAGTGGAACCTCTTTGTCACCGGGGAAGACCCAAATGTTGCAGAAGCCATGAGTCAAGGAATTGAGTGAAACAGAATACAACTCAGCTTGGATTTCCTGATGTCAGGTGCACATGTTCAGTTCTCCTGAGAGAGAAGCCACTCGTTCCCGCTCTTTGCCAGCTGGTCTCTCCTCTCCTTCTCTCTCCTGCCCTCCTATCCCTGTCTCTGTTTCCATGTCTGTCTCTCCCTCCCTGTCTATTGCTTTCTGTCTGTCATACACTCAGTCACACGCAAGCACACAGGTCCACATACACAGTGCCCACAGTTCTCAGATCCTTGTCCAGCCCCTTCTGTCTGTGGCACTCCATCTATTCTCTCTCTCTCTTTTTTAACCCTCATCTCCCCCCAAAACACTGCCAGCTCCTTGACGACAGGGCTGACCTATCCATCTGTGCACCCCCAGTGCTGGTACACCCATGGGGTTCACACAATGAACCAAGCGGACGTTCAGCTGCTTGTCCCCCGTGTCATTTTTGGCATCACGGGAAGCATGCAGTATCCTCAGCACACCCAGCAACGGGCACTGGACTTCTCTGGGCCTCTCCGGCTCTTTGTCAGGGCCGCCAGACACCTGGCAGACTTCCCTTTCAGAGAGAAGGGGAAAGTTTTTGCACTGCCTCCAGCAAGCCACTGCCCAGAAGGGATGCTGACTTACCAGCATGATCCTTGAGCTCAGGGCTCCTCTCTGCTGCTGGAGCCTGCCACCCACTCTGGGCCCATCCCAAGAGGGCCACGTCCAGGTCTCTTTTCTCAAGTAGAGTCAAGGAGATCTTCCTGGCCAGCGCTTCACCATCAGGCTCATGGAGCAGGGCACAGTGGTACTCCCTGGAGAGAAGCTCTTCCTCCAGCAGGTGGTCCAGGAGAGCCCGCACCTGCTTCTGCCCATGGCAAGAGAGCAGCATCTGGACCTGAGTCAGGATGGCCTGGAAGTGGTTCATGGTAATGTTCAGTGGCAGGGCAGCTGCCAGGCCAGCGCCTGGATCGCTTGTAGCCGACCCGCAGCATCCAAAACACGAAGTGAAAACCAGGACGAGGAAATCTCTGCAGCTTTATTACAGCTTATTCCTTCTTGGGACAATTTCCTCATTTGTGTTGGCAGCTGGTGTGCTGGATGAGCAGACAGATGGAAATACAGCTCTTGGGCTGGCAGAAGCCCTACATACATTCCTGGGTACCACTTGTGCCCCCGCCTCAGAGAAGAGCCGTGTGGGGGAACCCAGTGTTTCCCTGGAGGACTCAGAGGGAGGCAGGTCTTTAAAAAGGCCTCATCATAGCAAGAAGGCAGACTGGTTGAAAGGTTACAGATAGGCTGGAGTTAATCTGCTTGGGTTGAAGTCCAAGGTCTACCACTCACTAGTTATAGGATCTTGGTCCAGGTACTTTGCCTTTATCGGCCTCTGCTTGTAATGTGTGAGAAGGCTCCTTGTTCTTTGTTTTGGTCTAGCCCAGTCCTGGTGGTTGAGGCCATTTAGGGAGTAAACTAGTGGATGGAAGACCTCTCTCTGACTCTCTCTTTCTCTGCATGTAGTTACTGCTGTTCAAATAAATGAAACAAATCTTTTAGAAAAACCCCAGGCAGGGGCAGGCATTTGGCGCAGCAGTTCAGACACTGCTTAGGATGTTCCTGTTCCGTATCAGAGCGTCCTGGGTTCAAATTCTGGCTACACTTTCAATCCCAGCTTCCTACTAATGTGTACCTTTGGAGCCAGCGGAAGATGGCTTGGGTTCCTGGGCTAAGTTCCTGGCTCTGGCTTTCGCCCTGTTCACCACTGGCTGTTTCAAGCATTTGGGAAGTAAGTCAAGTATCTCTCTGCCTTTCAAAGGAACTAAAACTAAACTAAAATGTTTTTAAAAGTCTCCCACCTGGGTCTGGCATGGTAGACTATTGGCTAAACTCCTTGCCTTGCATACACCGGGATCCCATATAGGCACCGGTTCATGTCCCAGGTGCTCTACATCCCTTCCAGCTCCCTGCTTGTGGCCTGGGAAAGCAGTTGATGATGGCCCAATGCCTTGGGACCCTGTACCCAGACGGAAGACCTGGAAGAGACTCAGTTCTGGCCATTGCTGTAGCATGGGGAGTAAATCAGCTGATAGAAGATCTTTCTCTCTGTTTCTACTTCTCTCTGTAAATCTGACTTTCCAATAAAAATAAATACATCCTTTTAAAAATCTCCCACCTAATTTTTCGAAAACATTGACTGACTGCTCTCTTTACACAATTCTGGAACACACTGCTCTTCCTTCCCCACATGGTCTCAGCTCTGCCATCTCTCAGATGGGAACATTTGCATTACTCATTTAAATGAGACAAAGAAGGATTTCCACTCCCAATATGGCCAAGAAGCTCCTATTCAACCACCATAACCACAATTATAAACTCTGCAAAAATATTTTTTAAAAATGACCCCAAAGCACTGGAGAGTGGCAGAGCAGGATGATGCCAGAAAGGAGTCAACACGTGAAGAATGAGATATCACTGGTGGATTGCCCGGTTCATAAGTTTAGCCTGGAGACAGTGTTACACTGTACAGCTAAACTTCTGATTTTCTTTTTAAATCAAAGTTTAATTGCTGTGCCCGGAATATCAGAACAGAATTTGGGACAAAAATAGCTGCTAGAAAGTAGGGGTAAGGGATCCAACATTGCAGCATAGTAAGTTAGGCCACTGCCTCCAATGTTGATGACTTATATGGGTGCCAGTTTGAGTCCTGGCTGTTCCACTTCCAATACAGCTCTCTGCCAAAGTGCCTGGGAAAGAGTAGAAGATGGCCCAGGTGTCTGGGCCCCTTCACCCATGTGGGAAACTGGAAAGAAACTCCTGGCTTGTGACTCTGGCCTGGCCCAGCCTAGGCTGTTGCAGCTATCTGAGATGTGGGCCAATGGATGGAAGACCTCTCTGTCTAACATGCCTTTCAAATAAATAAATAATCAGATTTTTTTTTTAAAAAAAGAGGTGATGGGAAGAAGAAAGAAAGAAAGTAGGGATAGAAATCCCAAAGAACAGAGAGCAATGGCTCCAAAGAATGTGTATAAACTGTCCAAAGATATGGCTGATCTAAAGGCACATTCATAGGGCATGATCCAGGCAGTACAGTGACAGCTAAAGGAGTTGGACTGAGGTTTGATCCACAATCTGCTATTGCAGTGGGATGGGAATGGAGGTAAGCAGAGAAGATAAGATTTGATTCCAGCAAAGTTATGCTCCTGCTAAAAACAAAGGCCATCAGCTCTGTCTAAATTATAAGAACACAGAATATTTACATCAATATTTACATTAATTATGCTCATTTCCAGTTTGCATCAAATATTAGCCCAACATGCTATAGTGCCTCAGCTCTGTAAGACTTCTACAGCTCCCTGCTCATGGCCTGGGGAAAGCAACAAAGGACGGTCCAGGTATGTTAACCTTCTGAGATCCAGATGGAATTTCTGGCTCCTGGATTTGATCTGGCCCATTTCTGACAATTGTGATCATGTGAGGAGTGGGCTAGAGGACGGGAAAACTCTTTTTCTCTCCCTCTTTGTAACTATGACTTTCAAATAAATTTTAAAATATATTAATTTTAAAAAGAAAAAAGGGAATTATGAAGACCCAAGAAATTGGGTCCCTGCCACATGGGAGACTCAGATTAACTGGTAGATAGATGGAAACTCGCTTTCTCTTTGTCACCCCTCAAATAAAGGAAATAGTATCTTAAAAAAGCTGAAGTTGCAAGTTTCAAGCGGACAGATAGTCTAGAATCTTCTGCTAATGCAACTGCTCAATTTTCCTCCATTATGAGACTTGATTTTTATTTAGAGATTTACTTTTAATTTTTATTTGAAAGGTATAGTTAGCAGAGAGAATCATTCATCCACTGGCATACTTCTCAAATGCTCAACAGCCAGATCTGTGCCAAGCTGAAGCCAGGAGCCCAGGATTTTGTTTGAGTCTCCCACATGTGTACTGAGCCATCATCCACCATCTCCCGTGGTGTGCATGAGCAGAAAGCAGGATTGGAAATATGGCACCCAGGACTCTAACCAGGCACTCTGACACAGAACGTGGGCATGTCAAACAGCAATGTAACCACTGCAGCCACCTACTGCACTTAAGGCTTGAGAACGCCTCCCCCGGAAGGAAGGCACAGCAGCATTTCTGAGCAGGGACAAGCACTAGGCTGCTCGACAATTTCATCTTGGAGTTCATGCTCTTCAGTGAGGCCTCCTCCTGCACCTTGTTACCATGCCAGGTCGATGGAACCTTTGTGATGTTTGCATGATTGTTTGCTTTGGCAACATGAGAATAATGTGTAAAGTAAGATTTATGATTGCAGAAAAAAATTGACTGAGTTTTACCAATGAAAGTTGAAACTTAACATACACGAGTAAAAAAAAACAATGAAAAATATAATAATTTCATTGACTATTTTTAAAAATCACCACAAGGACCTAGAAACAAACACCCTTCAAAAGCAGACTAAACAAACAAGTTGTAGTACACTCCTACACAACAGTTAAAGTTCATGCCCAATATCATGGCACAGTGAGCCAAGTTGCCAGCTGCAATCTTGGTATCCTACATCAGGATGTCAGTTCAAGTCCTGGTTGTTTCACTTCGGATCTGGCTTCCTATGGGAAAAAGGAGAGGATGGTCCTAGCATTGGGTTCCTGCCACCCAGACTAATCAACAGATATAAGGTCTCTCTTTCTCCCTCTGCTACCTTTTCAAATAAATCTTTCTGAAACTTTATGAACTGGGGCTACATATATTAATATGCAAAGATCAAAACCTTAATTAGTAGAAAGGCAACTGCATCTAGAGATGGACGCATGTTAGGTGGAGACGCGGTCAGAACAGTCAGCTTTCAAGTCAGCAGTGTGGTGAGAAAGATGAGGGGGAGCAGCACCCACAAAAGACTCTCAAGGGACTAAGACAGAACTCCACTGTTTTATGTGATGAACTGGAATTGCAAAGCCATCTGTACCATTATTCTAATACCTTCTTGTCTGTTTTAAACAGTCTGTTACTTGGGCCATATAGCATAGCTGATATTTTAGATTTATTAAAAAAAAAAAAAAGGCTCTTTCCTATGCTGTGACCCTAAAAGATTATGATGACTGACAGAACTGGTAAGAATTGCTATGGGATTGGTTATTATTTGATGCTGATGAGTGACCCCCACTTCTTCTGGTTATGTGTCTGGTATCAGCCAGGTGGCACAGGAATCATACCTTGGGGAACAGAGACTTGGTGTTTGTTGTCGTGGTTCTGTCACATTGAGACCTGAGTCCCTTTCCAGTAGAGTAGGAGCCTTTAGGATGAGAAACGTGGAGCTAAGACTAGAAGCGGGGGATCCCAGTGCCAGGCTTGAGGTTCAGGCAGTCCTTGCTGAGTGAGGAGCGACTGCCTCTTCTCCAACTCCTGCGCTTCTAGCCTAGGGACCAATGCTGAAGACAATAAGAAAAACAGCTACTGTTTCCTGAGATCACACAATAGGCAGCTGGATGCTTTCTGTGTGTGGCTTTATCGTGACCAAAAACCATCCAGGGTAGGTGTTAATCATCTCACCGTAGAAACAGCTCACAGGCACAAAACCACAGGACCTGGGCAGGAATCCGTATTTGGAAAACGAAAAGAGGGCCTGGAATGGAAAACCTGCTGGCGTGCCTGCTTCCTCTAGGGGACCAAAGACCAGCAACCAAGATCCATGAGCTTGGCCAGCTGTTCCCAGTACCTGTTGCTTGTCCTCTGCGTGAGATGCTGCTGCCTCTCAGCCCGAGGCACCTTAGTCACTTCTAAGGGATGTGGCCTGCTGCCATTGCTTCTCAGGTTGCCCTCAAAATATGTGAAGCTCACCTGTGACTATGGCAGCAGGTATGTGACATACCTGTGACTATGGCAGCAGTAGGGAGAGTAGATGCGACTGACATGTCGTCTGCAGGATGATGACATGACCCACTGTGGCTCATGGGGGTCAGAAATATGGGGTCAAAA